ACAGAAACATACAGAGAAAGAAAGGAGATGGGCATTGCAAAGGACAGAAACATACAGAGAAAGAAAGGAGATGGGCACTGCAAAGGACAGAAATAACACGGTTCCTCCTCTTTGTCAGGATGAGGGACTGCCACAAATACTTACAAAGACCTTACTGGTGTGGCTCTGTGCGTTAATGCATCACACTGCAAAGTTATTTGAACTGCAAGGTCAGCGGTTCAAGCTAACCAGCTGCTCCTTGGAAATCCTATACAGGGTCGCTATGGGTCGGAATCGACTCGATGGCACTTAACAACAACAAAAAAGCAAATATAGGGGTGCACGGTGGCTCTGTGGGATAAGCACTGGACTGTGAAGCACAAAATTGGCAGTGAGAACCTACCAGCAGTTGAATGGGAGAAGGATGAGGCTTTCAACTCCCAGAAAGATTTATAACCTCAGAAACCCTATATAGGGTCACTCTAAGTTGCACACCTCAACAGCATTTCATGACAACAACAAAGCAGAAAAAAAGATTAAAATGTCTTAATTTTACATTAAATGATTATACCAGTGGATGGATACTTTAAAGTTATTTTTTAAATTCATGCAAGCTAATTATTTACCTCCTGGATACTTGACAGAATTCAGACCTTGAGCAATTATTTAAAATTTAATTCAATAATACTGAAATACTTATTATTATTCCAAATAGACATAACATAAATTGCAGAGCATTTATGACATTTAAACTTTTTTATGCTTTAGTATGCCAGTGCACATATGAAAACAAGGAGAGGTTAACATCCAGCTCACATCAAAAAGCTCACCCAGAAGTGAAGGATGAACAGGGTTAGATTTCTGTACCTGATCGTAACCGCAACACTAACTGCTGAGGTTGGATCTGAGTGATGTCTTCTGGCTGCAGCTTCTCTGCTGTCCCTTTGCTACGATTTGTGACATTTTTATTTTTCTTTATGTCTCTGGATCCTCTGGGATTTTCTATGTCATCTGTATGACAACCTTTCTTCTTTAAGGCTTCTAAATCATCACATCGGGCAGAGGTAGGCATTCCTTCTTGTAAAAATGTCTAAATAACATGTAAGAAATAAAGATATACATTTTAAAATGTGTAATAATCCAAGCTTTTACAAACCTGCTCAATTTCAAAATAAAACAACTGAAGCATCTAATGTACCTCCTTTCTGGGTTTTGAACAAAATACCTCGTTCATGCAAACCATACATAATAAGTATGCTTGTTTAAAACCAAAACTCTTTCCTAGAAAGCAATCAAATTCCCAGGACTGAACTAAGCACATTAACTGTCCCACCTTCTACTTCACAAAACAGAATCAAAAGAAATTTCTTCAGTGAAATCACTTATTCAACACAGCCACTAGTAATATATAGTACCAAATAGTACTGTTGTTAAGTGCTGTTGAGTCGGTTTCCAAGAAGTGGCTGATGACTCTGAACCACTGACCGTGCGGTTCAAACTGACCTTGCAGTCCAATGCTTACCCCTTTAACATCCCAATATTAGACAAATTTCCCTTTGAAAAGTCCTTATCAAGTCTCTCATAGTGTACTCTCCATTACAATAGTATGAAACAGTCAATGTTTAGAGAAAACACGTTAGCCTAAAAGCATACTCATCAATGACGGCATTTTTTAAAAGGAGAGTAAGAAATTTAACCATTCCTGGAGGTTTGGCCTAAAAAATTCAAGCACTGAATATTATGTGAGCAAGCATCTTAAGGTGTATAGTAAATAACTATATATAATGTTGTTGTTGTTAAGTGCATGAATATATTTTCACTGGATGATTAAAAAGAAGAAAAAAAAGAAAAGGTCTTAAAGGTACATAAATGAATATCCATTTGTGGTTTGGGGCTAGAATTTCCAGTTTTACAATGTGTTCTCCTGGTGTGGAGAAGTCTTGGTGTAGTGCTATAGGTTAATGTGCTGGATTTCAAGGGCATTTGAACCACAATGTCGGCAGGTCAAGCTCACTAGTCACTCCTCTGAAACCCTATACAGGGTCACTACGGGTCAGAACCAACTTGACGGCACTTATCAACTATCTTGGTGTGGTGCTGCACGATAATGCAGCACTGAACCATAAGGCCACTTTGAACACTCAGGCCGGCAAGTTCAAACCTCATTAGCCACTCCTTAGAAACCCCAAACAGGGTTACTGTGAGTCAGAAGAAACTCAAAGGCACTTAACAACAACAACAAAGCTCAAACAACTGAGATGGGAGCAAAAAGGGATTCAGATGACTAAAAAATTGCTTTCATGAAAACAAAAGTACAGCTGTAAAAGACATGGATAAGGTTTTTAAATAAAATATTTTCATGAAATTTGAGAGCAGGAAAAACGACATGAATATTTATGTGTATGGCTAAACATAAAACATAAAAAATGTTATCAATAAATTATTTTAAGTAGACATTTGCCTGTGTGACATATGTCCCTAAAGACTATATTTCGTTGGTTATATGCTGTGGAGTTGGTGCTGACTCACAGTGTTTCCGAGGTTGTAAATCTTTCTCCCGTGGAATGTGGAATGGCTGCTAGTTTCGAACTGCTGACTTAAGGTTAGCAGCTCAAGTCATAATCACTGAGCTATCACAGCTCCTTAAACACTATATTTAGATGGCCAAAGCCCTTTTTTTTTTTTTTTTTTTCCTAATCTTGACAGGGCAAAATGGGGGATTGCTATTTTGGGAATGTTTTATGTTCAGTTATAAAAGGTGTATGTGTATTATTACCTATCACTTTTATAATGCTATATAAAGGAAGCTATTTAAATTTTAAAATGCAGTTAGTTTTTATGGGAAAAAAAAAACAATGCTAAGAGCATATATGTAACTAAAGAAACAGTTAGAAAAGAAAACCAAGAGCCAGATGGTTAAAGCTATACTATCATAAAAGCTAAGACACCACCCCCCAAAGCAGAGAATGCTAGTGAATTCTACATTCCCAGATATGCATGAATCTAGGAAACTTCTAGATTATAATCAACATCCAAATAAAATTCCACTAAACATATTCTAAAAGAATATTCAGTAATTAAGAATTATGCCCCAAAGTATCAAAAAAGCTTTAATTACTTAAATACTAAAAGTGAGTACAATTTATTAAATGAAGTGTATGGTTTTTGAATGTAAAACTGAGGGTTTGCTCTGCAAACCTTCACTGAATTTATAACATAAAAAGTTTTAAAAAAGATTGTTGTTGTTAAGTGACGTCCGTCCAGTTGACCCCAACCTGCAGTGAGACCTTGTATGGATAGGGCTTCCGAGGAGCACCTGGGGAGCTTGAACGGCTGCAGCCAACCTTGCAGTTCAAACAGCTTTGCCGTCTGGCGCGTTAACCCACAGTGCCACAGCCTTAGAAAGCCTATGGAGCAGTTCTACTTTGCTCTGCTGATCTGCTCTGAGCTGACACATGACAATGTATTTGGTTTGTGGTTTTGTGTCTAGTTCCTTTCACTTTACATTGAAAAAAAAACCAAGTGACTAAAACTCAAGCCCTACACTTAATGGGTCTTTATTAGAATGCAAATCAAATCTTTATTAGTTTAAATCTAATATGAGGGTGAAAAGATTAATTTCTACTTTCCCCTAATAAAGTAAAAAACAAAAAACCTAAATATGATCTAAAACTAAAAGCCTGGTGTTTTATGGAAGCTATCCAATAAAAGTATAATGCCAACCAATAGGACCAATCCACATTTAGTACTTAAAATTTTTTCTAGTAGCCACTCTAAAAAGAATAAAGAAAAAGGGAAATTAATTTTAACAATAAATCTAAAATATCATTTCAACATGTCATCAATTTTTAAAAAAATATGAGTGAGCCTTTTATTCTAAATCTTCAAAATTTGGTATGTAAGTGAGAGCATCTACTTTCCAAGTGTTCACTAGCCTCATGTGGCTCCTGTGTTGAACAGGTAATTCTAGACCCTCACAGAGTTTTATTTACACAAAAAACACAACCCGTTACCATCAATTAGTCCATTTCGACTGACAGCGACCCTGACAAGACAAGCAACTCCATGGGATTTCCAAACTGCATTATTACCTTTATGAGAGCAGGTCGCCCAGGTATGAACCTCTGACCATTCAGTTAGCAGCTAAGAGTTTAACCACTACATCACCAGGGCCTTGCATTTTACATATGTTGTTATTGTTGGGTGCCAACACGTCTGTACCGACTCATAGCAACTCTATGCACAGCAGAACGAAACACTGCCCAGACCTGGGCCAACCTCACTATTGTTGCCACGCTTGAGCCTATTGATGCTGCCACTTGGTCAATCCATCTTGCTGGGGGTCTTCCTTTTTTTCTTTAACCCTCCACCTTACCAAACATGATATTCTTCTCCAGAGACTGGTCCCTCCTGACAATATGTCTGAAGCATGAGAGACGAAGTTTGACCATCCTGGCCTCCAAGGAGCACTCTGGCTGCACTTCTTCCAACACAGATCTGTTGGTTCTTTTGGAAGCCCATGGCACTTTCAATACTCTTCTCTAACACCTTAACTTACAGGCATCATTTATTCACTAGACATTGGTTTAATAGAAAATTCTTATCTGGTACTTCCCAAGGACATAGCACTGAACAATACTAACCACTAGCGAATATATGGAAATGACCCGAACAATCTACTTACTGAATTTGTGCACCATCCACAATTTGGTCCTGCTTGTATACATTCTCCACATGATTTTGCATTTGCTTTTAAACATCTATTTTCATCTGTCAGGAAAGAAAAAACAGACCCCTTTTAAAGTTTCAAGAGAGAAAACACTGAAAAATCAATCATAATGACAAACAATGCAACATATGAGGGGCTTCAAAAAAGTTCACGGAAAAATTCCATTTTGTCCAAAAAAGTGGAATTTTTCCATGAACTTTCTTGAAGCCCCTTCATATATGACTATTAAGTATAAAAACCATGAATCTACTTACCAAACTGAACCAGACTTAGTTCCCAGAATGGGTCAGTAGAAGCAACTTTAAATGGGTGAATATCACTGTTTGGAAGTCCTGGTGTAGCACTCAACCATAAGGTCATTTCAAACTGCAAGGTTGGTGGCTCACACCTACCAGTTGCTCCTGGGAAACCTATACAGGGTCACTATGACTTGGAACTAACTCGACGACACTTAACGACAACAAATCACTACTTAGGAGCATTAGTGGATTCATTCTTTCATGTGACATATATTTATTTGACACCTTTCATGTGTCCAAAATTATTCTATGCACTGGGAATACTATAGTGAAGAAAACCAATAAAAATCTCTGCCCTCACAGAGCTTATGTATAGTAGGGAGAGACAGATCAAAAAGAGAGACAAATAAGATACAGAACAAGACAGAGAGAGATAAAGGATGAGGAGAACAAAATAAAGCAGAGAACGGAAGTATGGGGAGCAGGACATGCAATTGCGAATAAGATGCCAGGGAAGACCTCAGTGAGAAGCAAATACCTGAGTCAAGAGCTGAAAGAGGAACAGAATCATAAAGATACCTGATATAAAAACACTTGACACTGAAGGTCAAGGTTCTAAAGTCAAGAAAATGCTTGGTGTTTTTGAGCAACAGCAAGAACGGCAGTATCAAGAGAGAGCAGTATCAAGAGAGAATAAGAAATAAAGTTGGGTGGCAGGAGTGAGGGGGAGTCTGACTATGAAGAACCTTGTAAGCCACTGTAAGAACTTGCATTTACTTTGAGTGAGATGGGCAGAGCTTTCACAATGAGCAGACTGATCTCACTTAGGTTTTCCCAGAACTATAAATGCTCAAAGAATGAGACAAGACACTGAAATGAAAAGACAGTCATGAGTAGTTTTTTTTGTGTGTTTTTACCTGTCTGGCCAAACACATAGCAAATTTGGCTGATCAGTCCAATCCAGAAAACCGGTGGTAAATTCATCTGAAATACAAAATGTACATCACTGAGAAATATAACACAACACATTCAATATAAAATAGCTCCACCCACCTTATTGTCTGGTGATTTTATAAGCTTAATATTGCCCAAACCATATCTAACCCTACCCTCACCTCATCATAAACCTCTCCTTCCAGCCTTTTACCTTTTACCTCATGTTTTTACCCACACAACCAGAATCACTTCCATGCCACGTCTCAAGGCTCCCTTCTTGCCTCTTTCCAAATCAAGTATGTTTCACAGTTAATTAAGCATATTTAAAGATAATTAAGGTCAAGTATCGCCTAACACAACGAGCTCTGGGAGCGTAGTGGTTCGGAGTCAGGCTGTTAACTTCAAGGTCAGCTGTTTAAAACTACCAGCCCTTCTGCAGGATAAAGATGAAGCTTTCTGCTCCTGTAAAGATTTACAGCCTCAGAAACTCTGTACAGGGTCGCTAAGTTGGAACCAACTCCACGGCACACTACCACCACCACCACCATCACCATTGCTTAACACAATAAAATCTTTGTCCCACAGAATCTCGCTCTATTATTTCCCATGGCTCCCAGGGGCCCAGACATATCCTGATTCCTCAGTCACTTCAATGCTGACTGCCGGTTTGCGTGAAATTTGAAAACTCAGTCTTGTCACCCCTGCTTATATTCAAGTGTCTACCAATAGTTATCGTGTGCAATGTATCTTCTTGTTGGTAAGTGCTGTTAAGGTGGTTTTAACTCACAGGGACCCTACATAGGCTTTCCTTGAGCGGCTAGTGAATATGAACCTCCCCGACTTTGCAGTTCAGTGCTCAGCATCACACCTGAACTCCACAAAATACCACAGGGGGCTTCAAAAAGTTTGCGCAAGAATTCTATTATGGTTTCATTCAATTTTTCCACACACTTTTCAAGGTCCCCACATATGTATTTATGTATGTCTATGTATCTGTATGTCTGTGTATGTATGGACATATGTGCACATGTGTGTATAACACACAGAGAGGGATCCCTCTCTATTTGAAAGTTCACTTTACACCACTTTACTTCTATTACAGATCTTTAATAGTATTGGTTCTTAACAACTAAAAGATATCAAAGAAAGATTTTCACTGTTACAAAACAGGCGAAAAGCAAAATAATGTATCTATAAATACATTTTAAAAGGTAAACTTTTGCTTTATTCCATATCAAAGAAATATAAAGCACAGCATAATATAAACTAGCAACGCATCAGTAACAATAGCCAAAAGGCTATTTAAACCACAAAACACTTCACTGCAGATAATGTTGAGAAAAATCAGCAGAAATTACTAGTAGCTCTACAAACCAATAGAATTTTGGGGAAAATAATTTGACAAACCTATCAAAAGCCAGTTGAAAAAAAGGTTTCCACCTTCTGACTTAGCAATCCAGTTACTGAGAATTCATCCTAAGTAAATAATTATTACAAAAAATGATTTTAAAAAAGACAAAAACAGATGTCTCAGACTGGTTAAGACTGAAGGACTTTCTGAAACTACTGCCCTGAAATACTCTTCAAACCCTGAACCAAAACTAACCTCTGAGGTCACCTTGTAGCTAAACAACAAACTGGCTCACAGAACAATGAAAATCGCCTTTTATTAATGATATGAGGTCACATGGTATACACAATCACTTTAAAACAAAAATGAGAATGCAGGGGGCAAGAGAGTTAGATTATTGGAAACAGAACCACCAGGAATGGAAATCATGAGAAAGTTTACACCTTGTGTAAGCAATGTCCCTGAATAATTCATATAGAAATTGATTAAAAGGAACCTAAACTACAGTGCAAACCTTCATCTTAAACAGTAAATTACTAATGTGCTGGACTGCAAGGTCAGTTTGAATCAGTAGGTCAGCAGTTCAAGCTCACCAGCTGCTCCTCAGAAACCCTATACAGGACCGTTATGAGCTGGAACCGGCTCAATGGCATTAATAACAACATACACACTTGCACAAATATTCAGGGTACTATTACATAGCATATCTACAATAGGCAAAAATGGAAAACCCCTATATCCAATAAAAGACCAATCACTAACAGCGTCCACTTGATTAACTAGTGCTGCTACTGGACGTGCCAGTGAGCAGGTTCTCTTCGAGACGCAGAGAGACCTACAGGATAAATCTTTACAGGAGTCAAAGTCTCCCCTGTCTCCCACAGAGCAGCTAGTGCATTCAAACTGATCAGCAGCAGCAGCAGCCCAACGTGGTACCCACACTACCAGGGCTCCCTGATTAACTACTGTTGTTCATGTTCGTTGGGTTTCCGAGGTGGGTTTGAACTGCTGATTGTGTGGTTAGCTGTCCAGTGATTACTCCTACAGCACCACAGGACTCCAATGAAAGGGACATAATTAAAATAGTATTTCTGGATGCAAAGTACATATTATGATGACAGCTAAGGAAAAATAAAAGTATACACTCATATGCAGTAACCAAGTGACCTGAGGATGACAAAGAATACCATATGCATGTACACCTTGTTTCTCTGTGCTTCGCTTTATTGTACTTTAAGACAGTGTGGTACAAACTAAAGGTCTGTGGCAACCTGGCACCCGGCAAATGTATCGTCATCACGTTTCTGCCGTATGTGCTCACAACACTGTGTCTTTGTGTCATTCTGGTACTTCTCACAATGCTTCACTAGTACTCCTTGCACACAAAACAGACCACTGTCATGAAGTGACAACTATGTCCCTCCCCACCCCCAAGACTTGTCAGCTTGGCTGGACCATGATTTGCATGATCTTCCAGTTATGTGATGATTCCCCATGATGTAATCTGATGCAACACACTAGTAAAAGAATTAAGGGTGGTAGCGCAGGGCTACAAATTTGGCTCCTAACTTCAAGTTCAGCAGTTTGAAGCTTCCAGCTGTTCCGTGGGAGAAAGACGAGGCTTTCTACTCCCGTAAAGATTTACAGCCTCGGAAACCCTGTACAGGGTGGCTATGAGTTGGAACCGACTCCACGGGACATCACCACCACCAACCTAATCTGATGTATGGGATATTCCACAGGCTGTGGCATGCAACGTTTTTTATCTTACAAGAATTAAAAGAGGAGGTATTTGAGCAGAGAAAGAGGAACCCACCACCAGCCAGAAAGCAGAGTCAGGAGTGGAAAGCGTACTTTGAAACTGAGGTCCCTGCAAGCTCCTAGATCCAAGAAACAACTGGTGTCAAGACACACGGAGAGCTCCAAGGAATGCTGGACCTGTTGTTGTTTGTTATGTGCCGTGGAGTCGATTCCGACTCATAGCGACCCTGTACAAGGTTTCTGAGGATGTAAATCTTTATGGGAGCAGAAAGCCTCATCGTTCTCCCGCAGAACAACTGGTAGTTTCAAACTGCTGACCTTGTGGTTCGCAGCCCGATTCGTAACCACTATGCTACCAGAGCTCCTTAATGCAGGACCTGTTGTTGTTGTTGTCAGGTGCTATCGAGTCGGAACCTACTCATAGCGACCCCATGCACAGCAGAATGAAACAATGTCCGATCCTGGGCCACCCTCACTACCGCTGCCACACTTGACGCCATCAATGATGTCACCTGGCCAATCCATCTCGTTAGGGGTCTTCCTCTTTTTCTCTGACCCTCCACCTTACCCAGCATGACATCATTCTCCAGCAACTGTTCTCTCCTGACAGTGTGTCCAAAGTAGGAGAGACGAAGCTTAGCCATCCTGGCCTCCAAGGAGCACTCTGGCTGCACTTCTTCCAAAACAGATCTATTAGTTCTTTTGGCAGTCCATGGCACCTTCAGTATTTTCCTCCAACACCACAACTTAAAGGCATCAATTCTTCTACGATCCTCCTTATTCACTGCCCAGCTTTCACATCCATATGAGGCTATTGAAAACACCATGGCCTGGGTCAGGCGCACCTTAGTCCTCAAGCTGACATCTCTACTCTTCAGGACCTAGATATGCTTAAAGGAGACAAAGCCCTTTCCCCAGAGCTGGTACTATGAATTCAGACATCTAGCCTCCTAAACTGTAAATAAGAATTAAATTCTGTTAATGAAAGTACCTGTGGTATGTGTTTTAGCAGCATTAACTAACCAATAAGACAACTAACAAACCAAAAGTTTTCAAACCCACTGCCATCTAATTCATTCTGACTCATTGCAGCCCTACATAAGGTTGCGGGCACTAAAAATCTTTATGAGCACAGACAACCTCACCATTCTCCCAAGGAACAATGTGGATTTGAACCACCAGTCTTTTATTTAGCAGCTCAAAGCTAGCCAACAGTGCCACCATGTAAAAGGGACTTCTGTAGGCACAGAGAAATTGGAAATTCATGGTCCTTGCTTTATTGCAGTAGTCTGGAACTGAACTCAAAACTCTCCAAGACATGCCTGTGTAATGTAAAAGCAAAAAAGTTTTCCTTATTTAGTTTGTAATTTTAGAGCTTTTATTTTTCTTCTTCACTTTCTTCAAATGTAGACAGTTATGGCACAGTACAACTGTGTGGCATTCTTCTTTCTCGTTAAAGTTTCATTAATAAAAAAAAAATAAAAATCACTGAATTCCACACCTCAGCCGTGATTATTTCTTTTGAAGGCCTCCATTTCACGGCCGTGAATACCACCGGGAGGCAAGCTCCACCGCGGAGAATGCTTTCAGTCAGGCTTCAGAGGAGCACGCCTGGGTGCTTGCACTTCCTCTGCTCAGTGCTGGCTTCCACAGAAGAGCTGCAAGAATGATGTGTACAGTCATCACTTTGCAGTCATAAGCACACGAGCAAATTCTGGTATGCCCCGAGCTTACGATTTTGCTTTCATTTCCGGAGTGATGCATCCAAATGACTAACAAAAACTAAGCACTCTAGAAGTGTGAAATACCTTGTGGTCCACCTTTGTCTGCCTAGAAAAACTGAGGTGCAAGAAATCAAGGCAAGCACTTCAAATACTGTTCTCAACTCTGAAGTTATAACTCAAAGGACCTGGAACACAAAGGAAGCCTCCTGTGG